GAGGTTGGCCCAGGATCGGACATTGTTTCGTTCTGCTGTGCATGGGATCGCTATGAGTCAGTTCCGACTTGATGGCACCTGACAACAACAACAACAAGGGTATTCTTTAGTGATACTGGCTTTATATTATTATTAGGTAAATAAGGTTATTCTTGGATTTCGGGTGTGGTGCTGTGGGTTAATGCTTCAGATTGCAAAGCTGTTTGAACTGCAAGGTCAGTTGTTTAAACTCACTAGTTGCTCCTCGGAAACCCTATACAGGGTCGATATGGGTTCAAACTGACTCAACAGCATTTAACAACAACAACAACAACAACAATAATAAAGATATTCTTAAGCGAGGCTGGCTTTATATTGTTATTATTTTACTCTCTGTGTATGGCTATATGAATGCAATATTTCTAGAACAGTTCATTGTCAATATCGAAATTTGTGTTGAGGTATCAGCAGTTTTACTCATCATTGCTTTTGCAACATTAGTGCAAGTGCCAATAAAGAGAAAAATACAAGTAAATCCTCAGTGTTATTTGGAGTATACTTTGAGAACTACACCTACGTGTTGTTAGGTGCCTTTGAATTGGTTCTGACTTATAGCAACCCTATGTGCAACAAAAAAACCCTTCCTGGTCCTGTACCATCCTCACAGTTGTTGTTTGAGCCCATGGTTGCAGCCACTGTGTCATTCCATCTCATAGCAGATCTTTGTCTTTTTGATAAACATCCACTCTACCAAGTATGATGTCCTCTCCAAGAACGAACGGGGTCCCTCTGATAAAATGTCCCAAGTTTATGAGATGAAGTCTCACCATCCTTACTTCCAAGGAGTTTTCTGGTGTTCTTCCAAAACAGATATGTTAGTTCCCTGGCAGTCCCTGGTACTTTCACATTCTTCACCAAGACCACAATTCAGCTGTATCCATTCTTCTCCACTCAATTGTCTAGATTTCGCATGAATATGAGACAATTGAAAATACCACAGCTTGGGTCAGGCACACCTTAGTCCTCAAAGTAGTGACATATTTGCTCTTTAACACCTTCAAGAGGTCTTTTGCAGTAGATTTGCCCAGTGTAATACACTGTTGATACATTACTGGCTACGTGTTGTTTTTGTTATTAAGTGCTGTCAAGTCGATTCCAGCTCAGTGCCCCTGTATACGGTTTTTGAGGAGTGGTTGATGAGTTTGAACCATCGACTGTGTTATTCAAACTGACGTTGGGGTCCAGTGCTTTATGCTACAGTGCCACACCAGAACTCCTTTAGATGCATAGTAACATGTAAAAACACAAAATATAATCTTGTTAGATAAAAATTCAAATATAGAGATGTAAGAGGTCAGTAAACATTTAAGGACAAAGTTTGTATATAGTTCCTTTGGTTTCCTGAGGCAGTGGGTTCACTGAGCCACAGCCGTCACTATATTCATGAAAGTCACTTAATGGAAGGAATAGGAAAATTGGGCTGCAGTTTATAGGTTTGGTTTTATTCTTTTAATGTTACAAATATTCAAATGGTATATAAAATCATGATAAAACTAGACAATTAGATATTTTGATTGCATTCAGAGATCACATTCTTTGCTAGCCTAGCCTCATGGGAGAGAGAGCTTTATTTGAGGACGTGGACAGTCAATTAAGAAATCTCTAATTATGTTCAATGGTAATTAAATGGCCTTAATAAACACACTTGTATTTCTAGTACTTCCTTCGGCTTTGGAATGGTAAAATGAATTACTTAGAGAATAGCTTAATCCATGGAAAAAATGTTCGACTTTAAAACATCCTCAGAATATTATTTTTGAATTATTTCATTTCATTCTCCATTTTTTTCCTCCTCAGACAAATATACATCAGCATCTTATAATGGTTCAGCCTGGCGAAAAAGAATTCCTTTTTCAAAAACATATTCAAAAACGGAAAAGATATATACAGGTAAATATTTGCTAGTTATTTTAATGTTACTAAGTTATGAAAATGAAAAGTTTTTAAGTTCATGAAACATTTTAGAAAAATCATAAAATGAGTAATATTTTAGGATATATATATATATGCATACTTAGTTACTTGGAATTTAGTAGAATTCTTGTCAGTGAGCAATTTAATTTTTCTCTTGTTTTATTGTGCGTCCTTTACTAGTTTTATGAATGACCAGAAAAACTTTTGGTACACTTTTGTCCTTAGAAACAAGTATAGTAGTTGCAGCAGTTATATAATATGTTAAGATGCATTCCTTGCTGAACTGCAAATTGTAGCAAATGTATAAAATGGTATTCCTATGTCACTGAAATGCAGAATTAGAAATGGTTGAATCTGTGAATGTTTTGCTGTTTATTATCTCAAAAAAAGCAAAAATAAAATAAATTTTATTTTAAAAAGTGTGTCTCTCACACATAAGGTCACTTAACTTAAAAAAAAAAAAAAAATTCCCTGCAAAATATTAAAGCCCTGTTGTTGTTAAGTGCCATCAAGTCAGTTGCAACTCACAGTGACCCTGTATAGGGTTTCCTAGGAACAGCTGGGGAGCTTGAACCAGTGACCTTTCAGTTCAAACCAGCCTTACAGTCCAGTGCATTAACCCACAGTCCCACACCTTACCACGTATTTATTGGACAAATATTGGCTGATGCAGGCTAATCTCATCTCAAGATGAGGTCTCCAGGCCAAGAAGTTTGTTATGGTCAATCTTCTGGGAGGTCATGGGGATCCTGGGAACCTGCCCAGAGTAGAGGCTTGTGGTATGCTGGACGTTCGGTTGCTCTTTTGATTAAAGCTTGATGTTTTCTCCCAGTTTGCCCTGGGCTGACAAGAGGATTACAAAACCACAGAGAATGAAATGGTTTCATATATTTCTCAGAAAGCTAATCCATTTTGAAAAAGTTCCAGATAGGGAGATCCGGCCTAAAATCCCTGAAAAGCTATAGATTTCAGAATTAACCAGAGCAGGCCCAGACTAGAAACATCCCTTTTTCCAAAAAAGAGCTGATCATCTTCTAAAACAGTGTCTCTCCAAACCTTTTGTAGTGGCAGCTCTGACTCGGTCTGGTTACCTGTGTATATATATATTCATATACTGGGGGCAACTGTTTGGGGTTTTTTTGTTGTTGTTGTTAAGTGCCATTTAGTTAATCTGGCTCATAGTGACCCTGTATAGGATTTCCAAGGAGCAGCTGGTGAGCTTAAACTGCCAACCTTGTGGTTCAAACTGACCTTGCAGTCCATCACATTAATCCACAACACCATACTAAGACTCCTTGTTTGTTTTAATCCCTGTCGTTTTCCAAGTTTCTACTGCAATCCTTTCCCAAATCATTACTACAGTTTTGTTGTTGTTGTTGTTAGGTGCTATTGAGTCTGTAGCAACTCATAGCGACCCTATGCACAACAGAACGAAACACTGCCCGGTCCTGGGCCAACCTCACAATTGTTGCCACACTTAAGCCCATTGATGCTGCTGTATTGCCAACCCATCTCGCTGGGGGTCTTCCTCTTTTTCTCTGACCCTTCTTCACCTCACCAAACATGATATCCTTCTCCAGTGACTGGTCCCTCCTGACAATATGTCCAAAGTATGAGAGACAAAGTTTGATCATCCTGGCCTCCAAGGAACACTCTGGCTGCACTTCTTCCAACATAGATCTTTTTGTTCTTTTGGTAGCCCATGGCACTTTCAATATTCTCCTCCAACACCATAACTCAAAAGCATAAATTCTTCTACGGTCTTCCTTATTCACTGTCCAGCTTTCGCATGCTTATGAGGTTATTGAAAATACCATGGCTTGGGTCAGGCACACCTTAGTCCTCAAGCTGACATCTTTGCTCTTCAACACCTTTCGTCTATCTGTTTGTCGTACTGTGGTAGCTTGTGAGTTGCTGTGATTCTGGATGCTATGCCACGGGTATTTTAAATACCAGCAGGGTCACTACTACAAAAGAGCTTTGCTAAAATGTTATTTGACTGTATTTTATTTTAATGTGAGGTTTATTTTAACATGTAATTTTAGGAGTGGGGTGGGAAGAGTGAGCAAAAATTCAGGAGTGAAATTAGAAATTTTCTCCTATGGTGTCCTTGTGGGCAAGATGAGTTTTGGAGTATTAAAGGATGTAGTCCTCACTCCTGACCCTGTCCCAGTGACTCCACTTGTTTCCCAGAAGCCTGCTTCCCTCCCATCCAGATAGTTACACACGAACCATGGAAGGATTTGTAAGGAGGATGAATCACTTCAGAACACACAATGTGCACCATCCATATATGCACAGAAAAGTTTGATGGGAGATATGAGCTGGCAAAATTGCTTTGTTTCTTCCAATCTGGGAATTGAGGAAGATTCAGCAATAGACAACCTTCAGTGTGGAGCCATTTATTCAGTGCAAATCCCCTTCTGTCTTTCCATTACTGCCAGCTGTACTAAGTCCCAGGGAGAGGATAGAAGTCCCTTAGAAATTTGGAACAATCTGAGCATGTGGAGGATCTATCTTCCAGCTGCAATCTAGAGACAAAGAAATTGAGGAGAATTTCCCAGTGCCATCTGGTGATAGAACTTAGGGGTGGGGGTGGGGGAGAGAGGTTTAGTCATGTCTAGGCATAAGAGGGCTGGAGACAACTTTTTGAGTTTTCTGAGCTTTAACTTTGTATGGTAGGGCATCAAACATTCCTATAGGCCTCAAGTGAGGATTTCAGGAAGAGAGGACCAGCATATCTGCCTGCTCAGGTCTTTTGGCTGGGACTAAAGTGTTTTGCTGTGTGCTAATGTGCTGGACTGCAAGGTCAGTTTCAATCACAAGGTCGGTGGTCCAAGCTTACCTGCTGCTCCTCAGAAACCCTATACAAGATCACTATGAGTCAGAACTGATTAAACAGTACTTAACAACAACTCAAAATGTGGTGTGCTGTAGGATAAGCCCTTTAGTGCAAGTTCAGTTTGAATCACAGGGTTAGTGGTTCAATCTCACCAGCTGCTCCTTGGAAACCCTATACAGGGTCGCTATGATGGCACTTAAAACAACAACAAAGGGATATGCAGTAGAAAGGTAGATTTGCACTCGGGACTTATTGGTGGAGGACTTCTTTGCAATCTCAGTAGAATGCTTTTGCCAGAAAGCCTAGTAGGAATGGAACCAACATTCACTGATTAATCCTATTTACTGAGTATGATTTAAGGACCAGAGCAACGACAATATCTGTGAGCTCGGTTGATGATGCTAAGTGCCCTCAAGTCAGTTCCAACTCATAGCGACCCTGTATAGGGTTTCCAAGGAGTGACTAGTGGGTTTGAACCACCAACTTTGCAGTTAGCAGTCCACTGCACTGCTTATCTTACAGCACGACCTATACCATGACTGCTGGGAGCTTGGTACAAATACAGGATCAACATCTCAGGCCTAGTGAATCAGAATCTGCATTTTAACAACATTTCTAGGAGATTAAGATGTACATTAAAGTTTGAGACTAGGTTATTTAGGATACTATTAAATTGGAATTAGAGCCCAGCGCAGGACATAGACATATCAAGATAACTGAAATAATATTTTCTTCCCAGCTTCCCACACCAGCAACCATTCTGCCCTGTCCTGACCTCAGACCTTAGTATCAACAGCAGGTAGGTAGGAGAGAGACAGAAACCCAAGAAAGAATTTATAATCTGAATGTGACTGAAATATAAATGTGAAGTGAATAAGAAATCACTGAATTGTCTTGGTTTTATGTGCAAAGTACTGGATAAGTTTTCTACATTGGGTAGAATGGGGACTTAGAGTAGAAATTAAATAGCAATCTGCTGCACAGGAACTTTTTAAAGTATTGAAGAGCAGAGATGTCAGCTTGAGGACTAAGGTGCGCCTGAACCCAGGCCTTGGTGTTTTCAATAGCCTCATATGGATGCGAAAGCTGGACAGTGAATAAGGAAGATCGTAGAAGAATTGATGCCTTTGAGTTGTGGTGTTGGAGGAGAATACTGAAAGTGCCATGGAATGCCAAAAGAACCAATAGATCTGTTTTGGAAGAAGTGCAGCCAGAGTGCTCCTTGGAGGCCAGGATGGCTAAGCTTTGTCTCTCATACTTTGGACATATTGTCCAGAAGAAACAGTCGCTGGAGAAGATGTCATGCTGGGTGAGGTGGAGGGTCAGAGAAATAGAGGAAGACCCCTAACGAGATGGATTGGCCAGGTGGCATCATTGATGGACTCAAGTGTGGCAGCGGTAGTGAGGTTAGCCCAGGATAAGACATTGTTTCGTTCTGCTGTGCATAGGGTCGCTATGAGTCGGTTCTGACTCAATGGCACCTGACAACAACAACAACAACATAACAAAAGGAGCTCTGGTAGTGTAGTGGTTAAGAATCGGGCTGTGAACCACAAGGTCAGCAGTTCGAAACTACCAGCCGCTCCGCGGGAGAAAGATGAGGATTTCTGCTGCCATAAAGATTTATAGCCTCGGAAACTCTGTACAGGGTCGCTATGGGTCGGAACCGACTCGACGGCACTTAACAACAACAACAACATAACAAAATGAAGTCAATTTTCTTATTTGTCTATGCTTTTGATTGGGATTTCTAACTCCTCCACTTTTATCCTTCCTAATCATTATTGTCACCACAGAATAGGAAGCGAAAGATTAGCTTGCGTTTCCTCCCAATTTATTCCTTGTTTTAGGACACAAAGCATCAGTTTTAACCTTTCCCCAGGAACAGGTAGACGGGCACAGGAAAGAGACAAGGTGTCACTAGACTATTTCTCTAAGGCTCTGGGATCCAAGACTACACAAGTGTGAATGGTTGAGGAGCCTTTGGGGATGAAGTTGCTGGATGCAGTATTAGGTTTCCAGAACTGCCCCCCCAACAAAATAGCATAAATTAAGTGACGTATAAAAACAGACATTTATTATCTCAAATAAAGTACTGGAGGCTAAAAGTTCAGAATCAGGATGTGGGTCATATTGATTCTTTGTGTTGGCTCTGAGACATAATCTATTCCACGACTCTTTCCCAACATCTGGTGATGACTGGTAACCTTTGATGTTCTTTTGATTCCACACATGATGGTCCTACCACTGTGTCTCTGCCTTCTGTCTCTTTTATAAGGACACCATTCGTATTGGACTAAAACCCACCCTACTCTAGTATGACCTCATGTTAACTGATAACATCTTCAAAGACCTTATAAACAAAGTCATGCTCAACAAATCTTCTTAGGAAACACAGTTTGATCCAAAACAGATGTCATGAAGATGTTGTTGTTGTTAAGTGCCATCGAGTGGATTCTGACCCATGGTGACCCTGTATAGGGTTTTCGAGGAGCAGTTGGTGAGCTTGAACCACCAACCTTGCAGTTCAAATGACTTTGCAGTCTGGTGCATTAACCCACAGCGCCACATGAGGACTCCAGTGGCATGGAAATGCAAGTGTGGGAATTAAGGGGTAAGAGCTTGAGGGTACCAGAGATAAGGATATAGCTGGTGGGACTAGAGCTAGGGGGGTATAGCTTGTAGGTGTGTCTCCCTGCGATGGAATGTTTATTCTGGGTCACCCACCGTGGAAGCTTATTTATAATATTTATTTCACTCCTTTCCTCCCCTCTGTCCAAATTCAAAGCATGCTAAACATCTGAAAGAGTTAGAGTTAGAGTGGCATTTTGAAAATTTATGAGGTTAAAAAGGTGAGCATAGTTTCTGTCTGCCTTTAGATTTGTGGTATACAAATCAGCACAAGAAATGGGAAATGATGGTATCCTGAAGAATGCTGAAAAATTAAACAATTGAGATAAACATTTTGTGTCTTTTCTCATTAGAGCCAAGAAGAAATGGGAGCAAGTAAACAGGAAGGTTCAGAGAAGAGAAAAATGGGAAAAGAGAAAAGTGCCAGACATCATCTGATTTACAATCAAAAATGAAAATTCAAAGAATGAGATTTTCAAGTACTCCATACTATATACTGGATAGTCAAAGATGATAAAATGCAAATTCTGAAAATAAGATGCAGGAAGTACATTGCGCTCTTTCAAAACTGATAAAATGCAAATTACGAACAGCTGCTTGTGTTTTTATATAGGTCTGGAATTCACTGGATGCCATTGTCACAAATGTTTAATAAAATTTAAAAGTTTGTCAATTAAAGTCATTATTTAATTGTAAACCAAGTTAGATTGCACAGATTGAGGAGTAAAAACATGCTATTGATCTTTATTATGGAATAGTCTTTTTGGAAGAAACCTCACTTTTTCTTTATTTTATCTTTTATAGTTTTAGTTGAGCCTTCAGTGACAAACAGATGAAGTGTAACCAAATTCAGTGAAGCCTCAGTGTTGCAGTTTGGTGATGAGTACGTTAGAGGAATTCTAATAGAAAACATACACTTTGATGTATTCTAGGAAGAGACAAAGGTTGGTTTATTATGCAGGACACTTGTGAATAATGTCTTTTAATTGGCAGCTATAGAATCGTCTGCTGAGATGTGCTACATTCAAAACTGAAACATTTTCCTCCTATGGAAAAAAATGTTTTGATCATAATGTAGAAAAAATGGGTTTAAGGAAAAGAAAGTAAATTAATACATGACATCCCAAAAGACATGTTAAAGTTTTGAGGCTTAATAACTCCAGAAATTTAAATGCTTAAAAGCTTAATTATTTCCACTTCTTTTGTACTTGTTTAGTATAATTATCTTGTACTTATTTATTTTGTGTGTTTTGAATAACACATTTTTATTTCAATTTTTTAAAATTTATTTTAATTTTAACTTTTTATTTCAACGTGAACCAAAAGTGGAAAGGCACAATTTATTCTTGAAATGTCACAAGTATGAAAGAAATATACACGGCTTTTCAAATGATGAGGTTTTTTTTTGTTTTGTTGTTGTTGTTTGTTTTTTGAGTTTGTAGTATTTATACTCCTGAGTTTATTAATGCTTAGGAATCCTGTTGTGGTGCTGTATGATAAGCACTAGACTGTTAACCAGTTGTTGTATTGGTTGATGGTTCTAAACCAATAGCTGCTCTTTGGAAACCTTATACAGGGGTTACTGTGAGTCGGGGCCAACTTGATGGTATTAAACAACAACAACAGAACTTCCCTAAGACTTTGAGACACATTATATTTTGGGTGGAGGGATTACACAAGACTTGACATTTATGTACATCTACACATCCTCTCTTCCCACACTAAATACAAACAGTTGAATCTCAGCTTTAAAGCACAAAACATTAGTTGAATGTCTTTCATATGGTTTTCTTCCTTTTCTGGTATGAATTTTGATGGCATCCCATGCCTAAATGATCTTGCAGCTGATGGTCAAAAGATGAAGAACATCATCAACGTGCAGTTGGGAGATATAAGGGGAAAAGATGATCTTAATAATACATGTTCTTATCCCACCAACCTCCAAGGTAAGGTCTGATGAGACGTTTTCACACCTCATCATATAACCAAATCAGAACAGCGAATGGCACAGGCACAAGCCACAAATGAGCCCTGAGCATAGTGAAATTCAGGGCTGTGATGCTCCCAAGGCCATAGGAGAGGATTAATGCAATGATGATATGCCATGCAATCCCTACCCAGATGGCTTTATTTCACATTGTGTTTTTATTTGTATGCATTTTGTGGTTGTTGGTAACCTTTTAGGAGTCGTGCTAGTCCATATGGTTCAGCGTTGGGCTGCTAACATCAAGATAAGTGGTTAAAACCCACCAGCTGCTCTACAGGAGAAAAATGAGACTGTCTGCTACTGTAAAGATTTACAGCAGTCTTTCTATGTATCATAGAGTCATGTAAGGATGGTGTAGGGACCGTGTCTGACCTCCCCTGACTTCACAAGGGAGAAGAAGACTCAAACTCAACATTAGCCCAAAGCTGATTCCTGTATGCCTCTACCCTCCAACATTATTTACCAATTCTGACACCAATCATTCCTTCTACGGCACTATCTCCACCTCTGCTGGGTTTGAGGATTCATTGCAATGGCCACACAGAAGTCTCAGAAAATGTTCACAATTATGGGGTTTATTAGGAAGTTAACAGGTTATAATTCAGGCTCAGAAATGCTTAGGATACAGTTGTTCTGGTCAGGAGCACCTCTTCTCAAGCATGCTCACAGGCTTGCTTCTCTCTGCTCCTTGGCCTTTCAGACACTCACCCCTTAGCCTCTACCCTACCCAGACAAATGTTTACAAACTCCTTTAGTGATGCTGATAAATGTCCAAAGGGCACGTCCATAAACCTCAGCCCAAAGACACTTGGCCCTTGTTTCCTGAGTTAGCAAACCTAGCTCCCCGGTAAAGTGCCTGGAGGAGGCATCCCACTCTCCAAGTGTACTTACTCCATGGACTGGAAAGTCCACGATTCTGTCTCATGCTCTTGGTGCAGCTGCCTCAGATGCTGCTACTCCTCCAGTGGCACAGCTCTATGTTGCTGGATCCAGGAGATTTAGTGCCTAAGGATCTTGGGCTCCAACAGAACCTCTACTACTGACTCTTCTTTATTGATGGTAGTGAATCCCCTATTCCTGTTTCTGTGGTGGCTCATTTTATACCCAGCAGGATGGCAAAATTGACCAATTCCTGTGTTAGAGTTCCACATCCTAGTCATTTTTGAAAGTTATAAAGACCATGGCTTGAAGAGTCATATCAGCTAATTTATGGCACCACAGGTCATTATGAGTCAGAAATGACTCAGCAGAAGTGGGTTTTGGTAGCCTCTTGGAAGTATTTTATTAAAAAGCATTTTATAAACTGTGATTTCAGGTTGTTGTTGTTGTTTTTAAGTACCGTTGAGTTGATTCCGACCCATAGTGACCCTGTGTAGGGTTTCCAAGGAGCAGCTAGTGAGCTTGAACCACCAACGTTGCAGTTCAAACGACTTTGCAGTCTGACGCATTAGCCTGCAGCGCCAGTAATAAATGTAGTTTGCAACTCCTAGTGGTCTCTTTCGACCCACTTTCAAAAACATGGAGAACATGTAAAGTCATTTGGTTTTAAAAGTAGAGTGGCCAGCAAACTATTTTGGATTTGGCAGGAAGGTAAGAAAATAGCTGAGTTGAAAAGCTGTCTAGCAGGAAGATGATAGGAGACTTCGTATGATTTTATTTAACAAATCTATATTCACCCAAAACTTCAACTGATTATGAAGAGGGAAGGTTGTAAACAAAAGGCATTCCAAGATCTTTTGCTTGAAGAGCAAATACTCAGTGTGCATCTTTATTGCATGCCAAATATTAAAGAATCATTGAAGAATGAAAATATAATGAAGGAAGGCTTGGATGTTATTATTCTGAATACATACATCTATTGTTCGTGAACACATGGAAGTTTTTATTATTGTAATCTTTATCTGGGACTCCTAATGTGATACTGTAAGATCAGCACTGGACTGTGAACCACAAGGTGGGCAGTTCAAACTCACCAGCTGCTGCTCGGAAATCCTATATAGGTTTGCTAAGATTTAGAACTGACTCAGCAGTGCTTAACAATAACAACAATCTTTGTTAAAAAGACCAAGTAGACAGTGTCATTAACCAACTCTGTTTTTATGTTTCATGATTTAAGGAAAAGGCAATCACTTTAAATCAGAATAAGCCATTGTGGTTCAGTGAGTTATTTGCTATGGCTCTTCTAGTCATAGTTTTTGTGACTTCTACCAAATGATGGGGTGGAAACATGCTAATAGGGATGTGGAGCTCTAACAAGGGGATTGGTCAGTTTTGCCATCCCACTTAGGTAAAAAAGGAGCCATCTCAGAAGCATCTCACTACCATCAAGAAAGAGCCAGGAGTAGATCATTTCTTTGGACCCCAAGAATCCTGTGCTCTGAACCTCTTTGATACAAGAGAACAAAGATCTGTGAAGGGGATATGTGGCAGACAAGCGGCAGCAGTAGAGGCAGCAACACCAAGAGAATAAAACAGTAGTGGGCTTCCTGGCCCATGGGTCATGGAAGCTGAGTGCCTTATGGCAGGAAGTTCACTTGGGATGTGGGGTACCTTTAGGCACTTAATCTGGGGAACTATATTAAATGGCTAGAGATGAGAGAGAGAGAGAGACAGAGAGAGAGAAGGGGCCAGCCAGTCTGAAACTAGAAAGGTGTGGACTCCCAAGCTTGTAACTGGCATCCATCAGACCTAGCTTCCATGACTAGACCTGAGTTGACCATAACCAACCAGACGAAGACAGATGTTTGACACTGTGATCTGGTCTAAGCATTTGCAATGTGATGGCTTGCTCGGAACTGGACTTTGCTTACGGATGCAGAGTCTTAGTATTCCAACCAGAATAAAAGGTATTTCAGATCAAGAACATGCTTATTTCCTCAGAGGACAGGGTTGATGAGGATGAGCCATTTAGAAATTGGATATCTAAAATGGGAGCTAAAGGAGTGGCGTGCCAGGCTTACATACTTTCATGAGTGTGCTTAGTCTTAGAATGAAGGAGCAAAGAAGAATCCTCAATGAATAGTTTTTTTTCATGGTGGATCTAGGGAAGAGAAGGTGGGGAAAGATGCTGATAGGATAACTGATTCAGTTGTGAGTGATTGTTAAGAGTATTAATTTTAAGGAGCTCTGGTAGCGTAGTAGTTATGAGTTGGGCTGCCAACCTCAAGGTCAGCAGTTCGAAACTACCAGCGGTTCTGCAGGAGAAAGATGAGATGTTCTGCTCCCATAAAGATTTACAGCCTCAGAAACTCTGTGCAGGGTCACTATGAGTTGGAACCGACTCCATGGTACTTATCAGCAACAACGACAACAAAAATTAATTATATAGAACATGTAACCGAGGAATAAAAGGGAAATTGATGCTTTGTGTATGAAAGGGACAGTGGCTAGAAAAGCCAGAGGGTGAACTGAAATGATAAGGCTCTTCTAGCCATAGTCTGAAACTCCCACAAAATGACTATGCAATATGTAATTCTAACATGGAGATTGATCAATTTTGCCATTCCATTGGATATAAAATGAACCATTTTAGAAGCAGAATGGGAAA